ATATATTGGCCATGCTGAACTCCGCCTCCAGTGGGCGGGGCGTGCGTCGAAAAATCGAAATTTGGTGAAAAAATTGCAGTTTTTGGCTTCAGAACAGTCTAAAGACAGGGAAAAATAAGGCCTTAATAGGGTACTTACCGCTCTATAAGGGGAATATATTGGCCATGCTAAACTCCACCCCCAGTGGGCGGGGCGTGCGTCAAAAATCGAAATTTCGTTGAAAAAATTGAAGTTTTTGCTCCCTGGACATCCCAAAGGTTTTTGCTCCCTGGACATCCCAATCCTTTCCTTCTCCAGGTCGTTCCGCAGCTAAGCTATCACTACGAAGCGCTCTTAGCACCAGTTGAATCCCAGGTTTTGACTTCAAGGAGCCTAGTTTTGTACCTACAAAGACTAGGAATTGTAATTTTCTCGATCGCACTGCTCTAGACAGTAAGATAGCACTCTTTTTGCTAATAACAAGGGGTGTAGAATATTCTCGTGTGTACAGTACCCTTCTTTTTCATTCTATCACTTTTTCTCTACCATCGAATCGACTGAGGCAATCGTAGATGAAAATTCCTTTCAGCAATTTTTGCAATATCTTAGTCTTCTGTGCTCCAAATAATTGTTTTCGCGCCTGATTGCTGACTCTAACTTCTAGAAAAAATATTTTTCGTTTTGATTGGGTGCCTTCATGAACGGTCACTCCATCCGTATCGCACCATTAGCCCTTTGTCTGCGAATTTTTTGTTCTCGTTCACCTTGCAATTGAATTTAAATTCCCCACCGATGTCTCTCGATAGTATTCAGCATATGCTTGTAGAATCAAGTGATGAAACCAGCCGTTCTTCACCAAATCGAAGAACTGCAATAATTGCCCTTGGATGCGTTTTCCGTAGCAATACATTCTGATTCTTTCAGATAAAGTCGTTCTGTTAAATCAGCTTGAGCTCAGGGAACAAGCTTGATAATTTGGTCCTCGTGAAGAATACCTAAGGTTTCGATAACACGAGAGATAAGTCCCAGTTTTCATGGTGCCAGTTAGTAGGCTGTCGTACACGGCACGAGCACCAAACAACATGCTTTTCTAAAGCGCAGATTTTTCAGTCATAGGGATAAAAACGAAAAGTACAACGGATATGTAGGAAACGTTTCGATATGAATCTGTTGAAAAAGCATTACAAACAAGTGTCGCTAAAGTGCACATTAATGGCAAACATGAAAAAGAATGGAGGAGGGGATTTGCCACAACCAATATTTTTAATGACACTCCAAACCATCGGGTAGATAGGAATTTTGTCGTGTATAGGTGGTTGTTCTTGCTCTAGAAACCAGAAAGGCTCATACATTCCACATGCACTGCTTAAAGTGTACACGAAGTATGTTCATCTGGCTAGCCTGTGTGAGTGCAGCGCCTTGCAGGCGCAGCTCGGATTCTTTGACGGTGACTCATGTTTTGCTTTCAGGGCGTGGCGATGGAGCGACCAGCTTCTTCGGGGAGTCGACCTGCCTCTCGGACCGAGGACGCTCGGATCCCGACCTTCTATTCCATCTCTTGGGCGAAGCCCTGCTCTCTCGAGGACTAGTGATCTCACCCACGTGGTGCTTGCTCTCCTGTCTATATGCTTATGTTCTTTCGTGTATTTGTGCCTTTTTATGATGCCTTGCTCCGCGATCTCATGTTATTTTGATGTCTTAAGGATAAACTTTAGTAATATAATAAGTCTTTATACAGAAGGAGGGTGTAGGACCTTTCGCCTGCGTGCGCATCGCTTTGCTCCTGAGTCAATCATTTTTGGCTGATAGCAAAGAAAAGTATAGGAATCGGAACAATATTGCGAGTTGTCCGGAAGGGTATCATCCATAATATGGTGTGCGCGATTTATGACTCAAATGACAAATTTTCTCCACAATCAATAGTTCAAAGTTTGAGTACTATAGGCCTTCCGACCCCCAGGACCGCGAATATGTTGAATCTGCTAAGTCATCACTTTAGTATTCCCATTAGCACAGGAATTTTTGTAAAGTCAAACTCGTACCGGGATACTACTAATAGATGTCGCAATAGATCAAAAAACGCACGCGATAGTGCTCTGCGATTCTCAAAGGATTTCACTGGTGCAAACAGGAAAGTCACACTGTGTTCGGACTCGTCTCTGCTACTTATCAAGGGCACTGAGCGGTGTGGTTGATCGCAATGGCAAAAGAGGGGGGGGGGGGGGGCGAATACGAGCTGTGGAGGCTCATAGCTCACCCTGGAGCGCGTTTCAGCTGTACTTTCGATGAGACCCTCGCGCCATGCAATTGAACATATGCACACGCACATCCAACATCCAATACCGAAGGGCTTTGTTCAGGTATCTGATGCAGCCGAATCGGAGTCTTCAAGGGGTGAAGAAAATGCATACCAACGTTACACAACTGAGCAGGGCTTTGTGCAGCTTGATCGTGGTCAAGGAAGGTCTTATCAGGAGCGGTGGACAAGCTTGATTGAACAAATCTGATTCTTTTGCTTGTGATATAAAGGGGCAGATTCGGGGAGGACGCATAGATACCAGAATGTTTTAATTTTTCGCGTCTGAATGGCCCTCTGAGTACCAGAGAACGATCCTAGTTCGATTCCAACTCCGTGAGGATAGCCAATATGATTTTGTGCAGGTTCGAGTTGACTGTGCAAATTCGCCGCCACGGCAAAATGGAGCTTTAGCAATGAATAATTAGTACCGATAGATTCATGCTCATTTTTTGAGAACTTCGCTAATACGTACTCCTATACAGTATCCAAATCAAGAATGTGGCATTCGTTTTTCGCACCAGTCCAACTCGTGCCAATCTGTGGCTGGCACCAACTGAGTCAGTTACCAAGGAAGATCTTTGAGAGACATACGTATAGCGCTTTTTTGAAATGGTTCCCTGATGTTGTAGAAGGCTCATGCGAGGAACACAGAACCATGGTCCATTTTTCCTGAACGCCTCCAGGAATGTCAAAACAGTGGTGAAGAAATGGTCCAAGTTCGATCCTCCGTGATGACAAATTTTTGCAATGTTTGTGCCTCCAAATTGACGCCAAGTTACGAGGGTGATACCTATTTTGTCGCTGGCGGCAATATAGAGGCGTCAACCCAGAATGCAAAAACCAGTCATCACGGAGGACCGAACTTTGGACCCCTTCTTTACCAAATCTTGGCTTTCCTTGAGAGCATTCAGGAAAAATTTACCATGACTCTGTTTACCTCGCATGAGCTTGAACCACTCAGGGCCAACCATTCCGAGCCTAAACCATTCAGGAGACCGTTTTGGAAAAGTCCTCCCATGTAAGTGATGGCACCAAGAAAAAGGATGTCATATTCGTGATTAAAAGCATCAATAGCTCTCATAGGACAGGTTTTAGCAGAACTCGTTTATATTTCCAACTTCGCTTCATTTCAAAGGCGGGTCGCGAGGGACAATGTCCGCAAACGGCCACACTTAGCAGTAGAACGGGTGGTCTTCGAAAAACGCGCTCGGTCGCGAATGGGTCAAAGTTAAGAAGCGTGAAAAAGGCAAATTGATGAAAAGGGAGATACCAATGAATAGGATCCCTTGGTAATCGCTTTCGAAATCTAGTGAACACGTGATATAAACAGGGCAAGCTAATGGGCACCCCTCGTAGGCATATAAAAGAGCATGGTGAGAGAAATTTAATATGACAAAAATGTTGTTTGCCCTCCTGACGCTCTGTTTTCTGATCTTGAACATCGACGCTGCAACAAAAAGTAAGTGTGGCATGAAACTCTAGAGCAGCTGCAATTCATGCAGTTGCGTTGACAGGTTTTCTGAATAATTTCAGTGGGCACGACCCTTACCGGAGTTAAAGCCTTTTTTTCTTTCAGAACCAGAAGAAGGAAGAAACGTTCCTAGGTACTTGTATGAGGAGTTCTTCCAACTTATTAACCCTAATCTGGTATGTTTCTTTTCCTGGAAGAGATGCAGATCGGTGGACGAGGTATAGTGTCGCGTAGCACCGCTACTATATGATTGCTGAATAGAAGACCAGATAAGATTTTGTGAAGGCAGTCTAAGCTTCACCCAGGCGTTACTTGTTCGTGCAAGGACGAAAAGCCAATTGAAAAGTATATTGCTGACCGCTGCAGCAACTCACGTAAGAATCCAACTGCCATTCAATTGCCTGTGTGATACTCAGTGGAAATTGAGTGTACATCAGGTTGCTGGTCCGGATGGGTTGATTGATTCGACGTTTCCATCATTTCTATCCGCTATAGTTATCAAACTCAAAAACCACATTTCCCACTAATACTTTAAAAAAAAAGCCATCCTTTATCTACAGACATGGAATGCGACTATGGCAAAGGACGCCGATAGACAGTTAAGCGGCCAGCGATGCTATCCGCAGTTCTGGACGTTGTTAGTGAAAAGGTTAGCTAACCAATTACACGCTGTAATTTCCGCTTAACAGCAGCGTCTTTAAGGATGTTCGGATATCCCTTCAAAAAGGGAGAGCATGTACTTTTAACCTTGGAAAAGGTCTTTACAACACCACATCGTGTGAAAAGAGTAAGTCATGTTATCCGACATTGTTTTACATGGTATGTAGATTTTTGCCGTTGATGTAATCAAACTGCTGCTTTATCTGGTACAGGACCTATTCCCTATTCCGAAGCGTCAAAGGATACCAGGTAACATTACACTTAGAGAAATGCAAATAAGGACCGCTGGTGTAGGGAAACGTTAAAGAAGCCACCAAAGTAGTAAAATGAAGGTCTCTATTGCTCGTTAGGCCGATCGTGATGCGGCGGAAGGACAGCGCTTTCACAAAGGGAAGGATACCAGGTCGAAGTGGCCATTTGTAACGAGACATACACCACTAGATGTGTTTTTGGACGCTGATCTCGAATCTGCTCTCCAAATCTGTGGAACTAAAATTTCGGCGTAACGTCGAAATGTGGTCAGTCAAATCTGTCCATGAACTCATTGTCAGGGTCTGGTCATGAGATGGAATTAAGCTGTCAATTATACTTGTGGGAAGGAATGAGTGTCTTCATTTAACTTGCTTGATCATCCAAAAAATTACGTGGTATTTTCTTCTTTTTTTGAGTACACCCTTCACCTTTCTAGAAGCATAGAGATAGCACAGAGTTTCGATGTTCGATGAATCTTGGCATCGTGTGTGGTATTCGTATCAGATTGCTTCTGAAGCCACAAGCCAAGATGATACAAGACTTTATTTGGCTAACGTTTCGGCTTGGTCGCCTTCGTCAGAGCCTGGAAAGTCAAGGATCAGTGCGACCTGCAAAACTTAAGGACGAGATAGTTGAAGTACATAACCTATTGATAGCTTTGTGGACCGTTTAACGGTTCCTGTCAATTGCTTTCTGTACTGCACTGTAGCAGCTCTTTCTATGTGTGGTTAGGTTCCATAGAGTTATGTTACTCGCCAGTAACACGTCATGGAAAAGCTACGTTCGTCCTTAAGTTTTGCACACCAGTGTAGTACGAATACCTTGACAGATAGTCTGAGCAAGCATATCACATTTGTTTCCATAGTCGGAGATGTCGTCACCTTCCGTGACGTAGAAACACCTACACTTGTGAAATAACTGGTCGGAAACGTTACGACGAAAATGGTTTATGCTTGAAACAATCTACGTTGACACTAACTAGTTCCCCACACTTAAAACAAATACAATTACAAAAAGCAAAACCTTCGTGTCCAGCAAGATGCCATTCATGGTCTCACCAATGTAAGACGCCAACACTACCTCGCGGCCAAGCCTCGGCTTGCAACGTCTGTCTGCCAGGTCTACTGGGCTTTTATTTAAAACAACGTCTGTAACTCTATTCAGAGACGTTCCGCAAATTTCAAAAGCGGTTTTGAGATCAGCATTTGAAACACATCTGTTTGT